CGTAAACAAAAATAAAACATTTTGCTGCCATCTCTTGAAATTCAACCCGTTGAGATGTTCAAGTCGAGTAAAATTGTTATTTATGACCTTCAAAGAAGTCATGGCAGTCTCATTTCTTTCACAATGAAATATCTTCTTGAATTGTTGGAGATTGGTGGGTGAAATGAGGGTAGAAAATGGTACAATTTGCAAAAATATGATCTCAAACTCTTCTTGTTTTCGAGCATATAGGAGCGCTATCTCAAGATGATATTTGACCCATTAGATAGATTATTTGATGTGCATAAGAAATAAAATTCGTCCTCGGGATACAAGAAAGCAGAGAGGACTTTTTCAATATTCTTAAGCTCTATGCACCCGAGCTTGGAACACATACAATAGACACTAGAGTTTTAATAGTTTAGAGAAAGATAGAGATAAAATCGAGTAGAGTGAGAGAGTTAGCTCACTGGTGTTCTTATTGGAATTGCAGAGAACAGTATATTGAGGGAGACTAAAAAATTGTTCTAAGTGTTCGTAAAACATATGGGTAAGAGGGCCCTTATTATAGAGCTCCAAGAGGCTGCCCATTTAGCGTTGTGGTTGTTACATGCATCACCCAACTACTTTAAGTTACATGAGTTACAGGCACCTCAACAGTTAAAGTTACATGAGTTACATGCACTTGATGACTGTTGTTACAAGCTTCCATCTCATCAACAACTAGATGACTGTTGGAAATCCCGTGCTCATCGATGGTAAGATGACCATTGGATGTTCCACACTAAATTAGTGATAGAAAAAACTCTCTTAAATTCATGGATAGAAAAACCAAGTGATTCAATATTGAAACCACATTTATCAACACTATTTGAAGGTTGGCTCTAATTTGATTGTTTAAAGCCTAGGCCGCTCTCTACAAACCGTACCCTTTTAATATTTTGTTAAATATATACATGCATTATTTAAATATTATAATTAAATTATATAGCTATATTTTATTTAATAATCAATTAAAATATTATATAAATATAACAGTATTTGGGTTGGATCTGAGTTAGATCCACATAGATCCGAATAGTGTTTTGGATCCAAGATTTGGACTCAGATCCAGCCTATCGAGTCCAATTTTTGAACCCATATCTGGACCTAGGTTGGGTCTAGGTCTATTGCTACCTCTAGGTATGAGTGCTTCAAAACCCGAATCAATAGGGCATATTGTTCACCTAGAGATTTTGTGTCGAATGGTTGGAATTGGGTTTGGATTTGGATTTGTCCAAATCGGGGATTAAAATCATAATAATAATAATAATAAAGGTATATTTATAGGGTCGTTATTTACAACCAAAAAAATATATCAAATAAAGCTTACAAAAAAAAAGAAAAGAAAAAATAACAGGTTTTCTGCAGGGTGCGGTTTACATAGAGCTGAGGCCCTAAACAATCAAAGTAGAGCCCACCTTTAAATACCGTCAAAAAATGTGGTTCAACATTGAAAATATTTGTGATAACATTAAATTATATTTTCATATCTAATTATAAAATTTAAAGCTTAAAAAATAGTGTAGATCAAGCAGATCTATGAAAATTTGAAAATCTTGAAAATTGACAGTCTAAAAATGCATTATAAGATACACTATTTTCAAAACTTGAAATGTATTTTTTCTCATGTCCGCATCTTGATGTCGAGATGATCGATTTGAAGATATTTGGGCATCAAAATAACCCCTTCTAGTGAAAATTTGGAGGTAGGCTCTAATTTGATTGTTTAAAGCCGTGGCCTTATATAAACTTCTTCTTTTTCGGAAAGAACTAATATAGGACCCATGTCATCCCGGATTGGCTTGATCCCGAGTGATTACCATGCTAATCGGTTACACATATCAAAATGGCCAGGTTTTAAAACGGTACGACTCGTTTCTTCCACTAGTCAAGGATGCCTTGAAACTTGAAAGAGATTACGTATGTCATTTAGTGAGTTATTAGGGTTTATTTTGTCCTTTAATGAACCGTGAAGGGCTAGCCTAGCCGTTCTCCCACTTTTATTTTGATTCCAGACGCATCTAGTCTCCTCTCTCTGCTGGATTCATTTGCTCCTCCCAGTTCGAGCTCCAGTACTTTCTCTCTCTAAAATTTTCAGGGCATCTCTCGAACACCTTTCTTCTGAGGTAAGTCTCTCTCTCTAAATGCCATCATTTGTATTACTTTAAGTTTAATTTTTTGGTCTCTGTTTTTTGCATCCGAAGAGAAACCATAGTTTTTGAGAGCTAGAAAATTGCAGAACAATCACGTGGACACTTTGTATTTATCTTTAAATGTGCCAAAACATTTTTGGGGAGATGTTTTAACAGCAGGTTACTTAATCAATAGATGGCCACACAAACTTTTGAAAAATAGATCTCTGATGGAAGTTCTAAAAGGGAAGAAGACTTCTTTGAATCATCTCAAAATATGTGGATGTGTTTGTTTTGTACACAGTCAAAATGTTGATAAATTAAGCGCTAAAGCAAAAAAATGTATTTTCATCGGATATTGTCCCACTCAAAAGGCATATAAATACTATGATCCGATCAACCAAGAGGTTATCATTTCCTGTGATGTTATTTTTCGAGAAAATGAAACATATTTTGTTCCCACTAAGGAACATTTGGTTCAAGGGGAGACACATATGGTTATGCCCAACATCACTGTTGATGATTTTGATACTGATAAAAATGATGAAAATGAGAATGGAGAAGGAGCAGTTGAAGTTCCTCATGAAGAAGAACCTCAAGCTGAACCTCACCAAATCGACTCTCGTGTGGCCCCTCTTTTTATTAGTCGACCTCAACGTACCACTCGTCTCCCAAGTAAGTTTCATGATTTTTATACCTATAATGTTTCCACCTATCTTATTGAACAATTTGTTGATTACTCTCATATCTCTCAAAACTACTTTTCTTATCTTAGCTCTGTTTCTTCCAATATGTAACCGGCTAACTTCCAAGAGGCTATTTCCACGTCAGTTTGGAAAAAGGCTATGGAAGAAGAACTTTGGGCCCGTGACAAGAACCATACATGGGAACTTGTCAAGTTACCCAATGGAAAGAAAGTGGTTGGAAATAAATGGATCTACAAAATCAAGTACAAGAGTGATGGTACAATTGAGAGGCCCAAAGTTAGGTTGGTTGGAAAAGGGTTTACACAAACTTAAAGTGAAGATAATAAAGAAACTTTCGCACATGTGGCCAAAATGAACTTTGTTAGAGTTCTTCTTTCAATTGCGACAAATCAAAATTTGCCCTTGTTCCAACTCGATGTTAAAAATGCTTTTCTTCAAGGTGATTTAGAAGAGGAGGTGTATATGGAAATACCTCATAGACACCCTAAAAAAAATTCAGATCTTGTGTGCAAACTAAAAAAAGCAATATATGGCTTAAAACAATCTCATAGGGCCTGGTATGCCAAGTTAAGCAGTGCCTTATTAAATAATGGTTTTACTAGAAGTGTTCTTGATTCTTCTATATTTATTAAAAGGAATTCCGCCGAAACTGTTGTTGTATTGGTATATGTTGATGACATTATAGTCACTAGGAGCAACATACAAGGGATTGATCAACTAAAGAAATATCTCGGCAATGTTCTTGATATTAAATATTTAGGAAAATTAAGGTATTTCCTTGGTATAGAAGTTGCTTATTTTAAGAAAGGATTGTTTCTTTCACAAAAGAAATATACCTTAGATCTCTTGACAGAAACTGGTAAAACTGGAGCTAAACCTATTGATACTCCAGTTGAGGTAAATAACAAGATCTCCATCGAGGATGGTGAACCTCTTCAAGAAGTTGGTTACTTAACTATTACCAGACCAGATATCACCTATGTTGTAAGCATGGTTAGTCAATTCATGCATACCCCCAGATCTTCTCACATGCAGGCCATTGATAGAATTCTAAGATATTTAAAATCTTCCCCTAGTCATGAAATATGGATGAAAAACAATGGACATGAAAACATAATTGGTTATTGTGATGTAGATTGGGCTGGTAACCCTTTAGATAAAAAATCTACCACAGGTTTATGCGCTTTTGTTGGTGGAAATATGGTCACATGGAAAAGTAAAAAGCAAAATGCTGTCACTAGATTCAGTGCTGAGGCAGAATATCGTGACAAGGTGTCCACAACTTGTGAACTAATTTGGTTAAAATCCTTTCTCTATGACTTAGGTTTCAAGTCAGCCAAGCCAATACCATTATTTTGTGACAACCAAGCTGCAATCCATATTGCAACTTATCCTGTTTTTCATGAGAGAACTAAATATATTGAAGTTGATTGTCATTTTGTCAGGGAGAAGGTTCAAGCCAAGATGATTTGTACTTCTCATGTTAACAGTGAAAATCAACTTGCATATATCTTTACTAAAGCGGTTAGCAAGAAAAAATTCAACGGTGCTCTTAACAAGTTGGGCTCGTTCAATCTCTTTGCACCAACTTGTGGGGGAGTGTTGAGATAGCCTGGTGTATCCCAATGATGTCTACATATCAGCCAGCTTTCCTAAATCATGATGATTTTCCTTAATCATGTTGATCATTGTTTCCTATTATGGACTTTTCACTATAGAATGTTCTCATATACAATTCTATATATATGTATAAGGGATCCATAGAAGGGTTATAATAATACAGATTAATTCTCCTTTCATGGATGTAAGCCCAATCGACTGAACCACAAGTAGGAGGTCCTATTAGGAAGACCTCCTACCATTTAGGTCCATTCCTACCACAAGTAGGAGGTCCCATCCCTACCGAACGAACAAGAATTTACGTGGTTCAGCCGATTGGGCTTACATCCATGAAGGGAGAATTAATCTGTATTGTTAGAACTCTTCTATGGATCCCTTGTACAGATATATAGAATTGTATATGAGAACATTCTATAGTGAAAAGTCCATAATAGGAAACAATGATCAACATGATTAAGGAAAATCAGCACGATTTAGGAAAGCTGGCGGATGATACACCAGGCTATCTCAACACTCCCCCTCAAGTTGGTGCAAAGAGATTGAACGAGCCCAACTTGTCAAGAGCACCGATGAATTTTTCCTTGCCAACCGCTGTAGTGAAGATATTTTCAAGTTGATATTCACTGTTAACTTGAGGAGTACAAATCATCTTGGCTTGAACCTTCTCCCTGACAAAATGACAATCAACTTCAATATATTTAGTTCTCTCATGAAAAACAGGATAAATTGCAATATGGATTGCAGCTTGGTTGTCACAAAATAATGGTATTGGCTTGGCTGACTTGAAACCTAAGTCATTGAGAAAGGATTTTAACCAAATTAGTTCACAAGTTGTGGACGCCATGGCACGATATTCTGCCTCAGCACTGGATCTAGTGACAACATTTTGCTTTTTACTTTTCCATGTGACCATATTTCCACCAACAAAAGCGCATAAACCTGTGGTAGATTTTTTATCTAAAGGGTTAACATCCTAATCTGCATCACAATAACCAATTATGTTTTCATGTCCATGGTTTTTCATCCATATTTCATGACTAGGGGAAGATTTTAAATATCTTAGAATTCTATCAATGGCCTGCATGTGAGAAGATCTGGGGGTATGCATGAATTGACTAACCATGCTTACAACATAGGTGATATCTGGTTTGGTAATAGTTAAGTAACCAACATCTTGAAGAGGTTCACCATCCTTGATGGAGATCTTGTTATTTACCCCAACTAGAGTATCAATAGGTTTAGCTCCAGTTTTACCAGTTTCTGTCAAGAGATCTAAGGTGTATTTCTTTTGTGAAAGAAACAATCCTTTCTTAGAATAAGCAACTTCTATACCAAGGAAATACCTTAATTTTTTTAAATATTTAATATCAAGAACATTGCCGAGATATTTCTTTAGTTGATCAATCCCTTGTATGTCTCTCCCAGTGACTATAATGTCATCAACATATACCAATACAACAACAGTTTCGGCGGAATTCCTTTTAATAAATATAGAAGAATCAAGAACACTTCTAGTCAAACCATTATTTAATAAGGCACTGCTTAACTTGGCATACCAGGCCCTATGAGATTGTTTTAAGCCATATATTGCGTTCTTTAGTTTGCACACAAGATCTGAATTTTTTTTAGGGTGTCCATGAGGTATTTCCATATACACCTCCTCTTCTAAATCACCTTGAAGAAAGCATTTTTAACATCGAGTTGGAACAAGAGCCAATTTTGATTTGTCGCAATTGAAAGAAGAACTCTAACAGAGTTCATTTTGGCCACCAGTGCGAAAGTTTCTTTATTGTCTTCACTTTAAGTTTGTATAAACCCTTTTGCAACCAACCTAACTTTGGGCCTCTCAATTGTACCATCACTCTTGTACTTGATTTTGTAGATCCATTTATTTCCAACCACTTTCTTTTCATTGGGTAACTTGACAAGTTCCCAAGTATGGTTCTTGTCACGGGCCCAAAGTTCTTCTTCCATAGCCTTTTTCCAAACTAACGTGGAAATAGCCTCTTGGAAGTTAGCCGGTTACATATCGGAAGAAACAGAGCTAAGATAAGAAAAGTAGTTTTGAGAGATATGAGAGTAATCAACAAATTGTTCAATAGGATAGGTGGAAGCATTATAGGTATAAAAATCATGAAACTTACTTGGGAGACGAGTGGTACGTTGAGGTCGACTAATGGAAGGGGGGGACCACACGAGAGTCGATTTGGTGAGGTTCAACTTGAGGTTCTTCTTCATGAGGAACTTCAACTGTGTCTTCTCCATTCTCATTTTCCTCATTTTTTATCAGTATCAAAATCATCAACAGTGATGTTGGGCATAACCATATGCGTCTCCCCTTGAACCAAATTTTCCTTAGTGGGAACAAAATATGATTCATTTTCTCGAAAAACAACATCACGGAAATGATAACCTGTTGGTTGATCGGATCATAGCATTTATATGCCTTTTGAGTGGGACAATATCCGATGAAAATACATTTTTTTGCTTTAGCGCTTAATTTATCAACATTTTGACTGTGTACAAAACAGACGCATCTACATATTTTGAGATGATTCAAAGAAGTCTTCTTTTCTTTTAGAACTTCCATAAGAGATCTATTATTCAAAAGTTTGCTTGGCCATCTATTGATTAAGTAACCTGCTATTAAAACAATATCTCCCCAAAAATGTTTGCATATTGCTCTGAAATATCAGAGCTTGAGTGACCTCAAGTAAATGGCGATTCTTGCGTTCGGCAATCCCATTTTTTTGGGGACTTCCAACGCAAGAAGTTGGTGAATAATTCATTTTTCTTTAAGATAAGTGGAAAAGTTGTAGTTGACATACTCTATCCCATTGTTAGATTGCAACACTTTAATTTTGGCATCAAATTAAGTTTCAATCATTTTAGAGATCGAAAAGTGGGAAAAACTTGAACTTTTGAATGAAGTAAATATACCCAAATTGTGCTCAAAAAATCATAAATAAATGTCACAAAATATCGATGTTCGCGAGTAGATTTAATTGGAGTAGGTCCCCAAACATCAATGTGAATTAAATTAAATGGAGAATGAGATGTTCTAGTAGAACTTCTAAAAGGAAAATGAGTTTGTTTCGAGTACTGACAAATATCACAATCCAGAGTCCAATTGCAATGAAGGCAAAACATAACAAAGAATTTTCTCACAGGGATGTCCGAAACTCATATGCCATTTTCTACTATCTATTACCTCCTTCTCTTTTGAAGTGACAAGGGCTTTTGTCGCTGAATCCAAAATGTAAAGCTCGTGAACTAGCTTCCCGTCACCAATCTTCTACCCCGTGACCCGGTCCTGGAACAACACATTTGAAGGAGAAAAGATTACCTCACAGTTGTGGCTTTGGGTGATTTTACTAGCATGTAACAGATTAGATAAAAAAGGAGGTAAATAAGAACATCAGTGGAAGATGAGCTACTAAAAAATTTGGTTTTTCCATTTCTTTCAACAGGAATGAGGTTCCATCTGCTATTGTGACAGGATTCCCTTTCGTATTTTTATCAAGATTTAAAAGCAGATTAGGAGTCCCAGTCATATGATCAGTAGCTCCAGAATTAATAACCCATGATGTTGGTGATTGGGAAGAAAAAGAAACGGATTTACCGGGTTCATGGTTAGGAGTTTCAGAGTTGGAAGCAATCGAATCTCTGTGAAAATTCTGGAACATTTGGGCTAACTTCTCAAGAGTTTGATGAACATCATTGTTGGCTATTTGAGCAGAGTTCTTATTTTTTCCTTGCATTTTTTCTCTCCTTTTTTCAGGGTGAAGTTTCCACCAATTTTCTATGGGATGACCTTCCTTTTTACATTCAGGACAGTAAGGTCTTCCTGTATCACGGTTTTTGCCACGACCACGCCAGGGTTAAAGTTAAAAGTAAAGGCTTTGCCAGAGCTATGATCAGTTTCACTATTAAGAGCCGACCTATTAGATTGCTTTGGATGATTTTTATCATTTCCAATCATAGCCTGACGCCTAGATTCTTCTCTATTAATAATGGAGCAAACAGAATCAAAGTCAGGCATTTCTTTAGACAGTAAGATTTGGCTTCTCAAAGCCTCATGTTCAGGTCCAAGAGCAAACAACAAGGCAAATGTCTTTTCTTGATTTTTTTTAGTTTCAAGTGTTTTCAGATCAGTAGCGGTAGGCAGATAATAATCCAATTAATCAAATATACCGGAGATAACGCCAATAAACTGACTAAAAGTTTGATCACCCAACTTCAAATTCATAATTTATTGTTTAATTAGATAAACTTTTGCGACATTATTTAGACCTCCGTACATAGTTTGGGCTGTAGTCCAGACGACGGCAGCCATGGAGCAAAACTGAAATCCAGAAGCAATTTTGTGATCCATAGAATTCAAAAGCCAACTTTATACCAAATCATTGTTGGTTTCCCACTCGTATTTTGGATCAGTACTTAGAGGGGCCTTTTTAGTTCCATTTATATATCCCAATTTTCCTTTTCCACTAATAAATAATTTGGCAGAGTTTGCCAAAAAAATATAATTAATCCCTCCCTTTAATAATTCAGTGGTTATTCTAAGGTTGGGATTTGGCTCATTATTGTTGGAAATTTCAGCCATGAGAACAAATACAATGGTGAAATAAAAAAGAACGAAAAAAATCCTTATCGAGCCAAACAAAAAAAATTATCGAAAAAAAATAACCGAAAAACCAAGATGTTCAACACCCTGTAGTTGTTGAAGCTGGCGAAGTGCACAAGATAGCCCACAAGATCGTTGAATAAGAATATTGCTTTTTTGAAATAATGTGTTCTCAGGGGTCCACCACAAACTTATGATAGAAGAGACCACCGGCAATGAACTTATGAGAAAAGAGACCACCAGCAGGCTGATTTCGTCATAAAACCAAGGTCACCGGAAAAATATAGCGCCAAAAAAATTGTTTGTAGCAGCCTGCTGGATTTTCCCACTACTGGAGTGCTTTACATCAATAACACAGGCATTAGGTCCTGGATTTTTCCAGTTTGCAGAGCCGGTTTATCAGAGATGTATCAACCTCATACGAATGCTGGCAAAAGTTGACCGGGTGTTCAATATGATAAGGAGTTCATAGTTTGATCTTTGGATTTGCTCTCTGGACTTGCAGAAGGACTTGGCAGCGGGATAGAAAGCCTGGTTGCACAAAGCAACCTGAGGGACCTGCTTTTGCAATGTTGTTGATGAAGCTGCTGATATTCGACAAAGTGCCTTTGCGCTTCTTGGTGACCTTGCTAGAGTTTGCAAGGGGCTACTTGTTTTGCTTTTGCTACGTTAGAAGAGGAAGCTGCAGAAGAGCTGGCCCCACACTTGGAAATTATATTGCAGCACCTTCTTTGCGCTTTTGGGAAATATCATAAAAGAAACCTTCGTATTGTGTATGATGCAATTGGTACATTAGCGGTTGCAGTTGGACAAGAGCTTCATCAGCCTGGCTATCTTGAAATATTGATGCCTCCATTAATCTCAAAGTGGAAGCAGCTGACTAATTCAGACAAGACAATCGGAAAACCAGCAACCCTAGATCATAAGACTCCTTCTCCCAAAGCAAACATTGCTTTGTCTAACCGAGCAAGATCAACTAGTAGATTGAAACTGTGCTCTGATACCATGTTAAGAGTATGGGAGAGAAAATGAGTACACAAGACGTGGTTCTGCCGATTGGGCCTACATCCACGAAGGGAGAATTAATCTGTATTATTATAACCCTTTATGGCTCCCTTATACAGATATATAGAATTGTATATGATAGCATTCTATATTGAAGAGTCCACAATAGGAAACAGTGATCAGCCTGATTAGGGGAAATCATCGTGATTTAGAAAAGTTGCTGATATGCAGATGTCTATGGGATACACCAAGCCGTCTCAACAGTAAGGATCCTTTTTTTTTTGTTTTTGAAATTATGTCATAGAAGGACATACATTCTATAGGCCTTTTGGTATGTCTTTCTCTCTGGACTTTTGGCTTTCTATATTGCAAAGGAAAAATTATAGGGTTTTTATTTATTAGCCTGGAAAATTAGAGGCACCTCTTTAGTTATCTATTTAATTAAAAAAGGCAACTCTAATTTGTTGCAGTTGTGGATAGATTTTTTTTTTAGTCCAGTTTTTATTTTTACTTATTTCTTTTTTTTTTTGATACAACATGTTTGATTGGTATAACTTCTAAGAAGCAGGAGACCAAAGTTACACCAAATCATCCTTGCCTGTTTGCTTACACCCTCCCCGAAGCTTTCCCATCCAGCATAGAGCATGGAAGGGGCCTCTTCCAAATTTTTGTGGAGAAGGGGGGCTTTGGTGGGCCCCCGCTTCCACCAACCAAGGATGCCCTTAATGTTTTCATTACTTTTATAAGTCTATTGTTCTACTGATTTCATTACTGATGTTAGTTTATTGCTAATGTGTTGCACTCTTTTCACAATACAATGGAGATTATCTACTTGCTGATATAGTGGATTCTGTCAAGATAGATATTAAATTGGTCCTTTCTAGGAGCCAGATGTTTAGCTTTAGAAGGGATATCTTTTAGTTTTGTTCACTGCACACTTTCATAAAAAAATATTAAAGTTTTTAGGGGGAAAAAACTTGTATACTTATGACACCCTTTGTTTTGTTTTGAGGGTTAGTTTTCTGAGATTGTTCATGTCTTGGTTTTTCTGCTGATTACATCTTTTGAAGGAAATCGAAAACATGATGCTTGTTTTCATGCAGTTTGAAGGTTCTTCTTTAATCATCAAGGTCTACACTGCAAGTAATCCTATTCGATAGAGTAAATGCAGGTAAGCTATAATGTGTTTATTGCATGAGCTTGATAAAGATGCCTTTGTACATTATGTATAAAGTTGTTGCTGTATCATTTGTTGGATGGTCTAGTAATGGGATTGCTCTTATTATGTTTTTCTGCATTTCAGCTTTTATCCGTAGTATGTTGTGATTCACTTAATCATTTG